TCCCCATTGGGGGGAGATGGGCGGGGACAAATTTAATAAATAAATAAACAAACAAATAAATGTTTATCTTGTAAAGTTAAGCAGGATCAAATGTGATTAGAACCAATAAAAAATACCAAGGTTGTTAGTCTAGATTGGGAATTCAAAAAACATCCAAGAAGAAGGCAGTGGTAAATCACTTCTGTATTGTTTTTAAAAAATCTGCATGGATGTGTTTATGAAATCACCGGAAGCTGAGCACAACTTGAAGGAAACTACCTTTATGTATTTTGGAGCACTTGCCCCATTATTACTGAGATTTCAGCATGGAATTCTGTATAACAAATCTGAAAATAATTCTGATAAAAAGTTAGGAAAAAGTTTGTGTCCCTGTTATATATGCTATTTTGTATTCATGATACGTATGCATATCATTTATTCATATTCCCCCCTTCCTTCTTTTTGACAGATCTCAGTGCTTACTGCTAGAGCTCAGGAATCTGATGCCTTACTTAGTGAATTACAGCAGGCATTTTCTCAAGCTAAAAGAAATGTCCAAGATCAAATGGTAAACAGTGAAGAATTGTTTTAATGCATAAGTGTTTTAATATATAAGTGTTGTTGTGTATCCCATAACCGCATTATTATTGATCTAATAATATGCATATTATCCACTTATCTGCACTGTAGAACAAAGTAAGGTTGATCCCAGATAAATCTTGGATGCTGTCCATTTATAGCTGAGTGTGAAAGAAAGTTTAGGATATTGTAGTTGGTTTTGCTCTCAAAAACTTGCACAGAATGCATCTGTTTCTTTACTGCTTGTTCTTATTTGAAGAGCAAAACCAATGACATGCTCTGTGAAAAGCACAGATTGGTTCCTAGGAAAAAGCCAATGAACAAACAAGCAGCACAGACCTTCTGGAAGGGGACCTTCCTATATCTTCTCTTTAACACACTTGCAGCAAGCTAGACTAACAGTCTTCTGTGGTTAAGATGTGCAGCTTACGCTCTTCATGATGGGGAGGTTTGGAACCTGGCCTAACCTAGTTTGGCACACTGCATCAATTATATACTGTTTAAAGAGTATACTGGCTTGCTTGTAACCGAGGGAAAGTAAATAGGGGAGGGGAGTCCAAATGATGTTAGTTTGGATATTTTCTGGTGATGTCTGTCCTACAGGGTTGGGGGAGTTAGGCCCCAATGGCATCTGCAGGGATGTCAAGATAGCTGCAGCATTGTGATCAAAGCCTAACCCTTTATATTGTGTAAAATTGTGGCACATGTACAGAAATGGCAGGGCTTGGATCATGATACTGTGGCCACCATGCAGCCTGTTTTCACATATACATCATGGCTGCTCTTAAGCCCAACCTACCTCACAGGAAATAAGGGGAAAATAAGAGGCAGGAGCCTTATATACACCACCTTGAGTTACACAAAATGAAGGCAGGATATCAGTCTAATCATAAATGAATAAATTTAAAGCACAAGAACTGTTATTTTTGTTCCTATGTATATACCAGGATGGTATCTTTAACGAAGGCCACGATTTTGGTTTTATGGTAGTTCAGATGATCCTTCTTACAATATTGAACAAGGGCCACCAGTGCTCTTCTAAGCTCTGTAGGGGACCTAGAGAGGATTACTGCATGGTCTACATCAGTGTTTCTCAACCTTGGCCGCTTTAAGCTGTGTGGACTTCAGCTCCCAGAATTCCCCAGCCAGCATGGCT